TGACTCCCCGTCTAGCTGTTCTTCGTTTGATTTGGTTCCACCCCATATTTTTAAGAAATATATTGACTTATTCCTTTGATTTGTATTGCATATTGTCAATCTATCCCTTAGTTCTGGCCAGTTTCCCTCTTTACTGAAACATGCTGTGGTCATCTACACTTTGAAAAAACCTAGCCTTGATAAAAACACATTAGCTAACATCGCCCGGTCTCTTACCTTCCGTTTTTGGCTAAAATTATTGAGAGAACTGCCAACAAGTAGCTGCTTTGCTATTTGTCTGTTAATGGTCTTCATCTGTCTTGCCAATCTGGTTATCGGTGATTCCATTCGACTGAAACTGCACTCATCAATTTAGCTTCAGAATTGTTTATGGCAATTGATGAGCAAAAGATTTCGCTCCTTGTTCTGCTTGACATGAGTGCGGCTTTTGATTGTGTCGATCATGTGATTTTAATTGATAAGTTACAGCATTTATCTAGTCTTTCGGGTATCGTCCTTTCTTGGTTGAAATCTTACTTGTGCGATCGTACTCAGCAATTTTTGTTTAGTGGTGAAGTATCTGATGTTGAAAGATTGTCGTTTAATGTTCCTCAGGGATCTGTGTTGGGTCCGTTGCTGTTCTTGTTGTATGTGTCTGATCTTTTGAAAGTTGTTAATAGACATGGTTTTAAATGTCAGGCTTTTGTTTATGATGTCCAAATATTAGCTAGTTGTTCTCACTCTGGTTTTGCTGACTTGTTGGATAACCTTATTCTGTGCTTGTCTGATTTTTTTGAAGTTGTTAATATGCATGGTTTTAAATGTCAGGCTTTTGCTGATAATGTCCAAATATTAGCTAGTTGTTCTCATTCTGGTTTTGCTGAGTTGTTGGATAACCTTGTTCTTTGTTAGTAAAAGTTCTTTGTCAGATGTTAGTAAATGGATGTCATCTAATCGCTTGAAATTAAATAATAGTAAAACAAATTTTGCCCATCGGTACATGGCAGCAGTTGTCTAGGATTGATATTAAGTGTTTATTTTCTGAAAGGATGAGTATTGATTTTTGTATGAGTGCTAGTAATCTGGGTATGATATTTGACACAAATATGCCTATGGAGCCACATATTAAGCGTCTTGCTAGAGACTGTTCAAATCAACTAAGGTTGTTGAGATCAGTAAAACATTCACTTGATGTTCATACACTGAGTTGTCTGGTTCATGCTTTTATACATTCTAAGGTAAATTATTGTAATGGCCTATTCTATGGACTGTCACAAAGAGTTATTCAGATGTTGCAGTCCATTCAGAATAAAGCTGCTAAACTTGTGTCTGGACGTTCTAGGCCTGATCATGTCAGTCCCATTTTGAGAGACTCACACTGGCTGCCTGTTAAAAAACGTATTACTCTTGAAATTGCAATGCTTATGTTCAAATGCTTGAATGGTATTGCACCTAGCTATCTAATTGATAGGTGCACTGCACGTCTTGTTCCAGGGCATTCCTACAAGTTGCGTTCTAATGATCGTGACTTACTTTTTTGTGGCCACAACAAATCTTGTTACAAGTTCAAGAAATTTTTCAGTTGTTGAGCCATCTGTATGGAATAGCCTGCCTTTGGAACTGCGTGCTTCGGGGCGTTCAATTTTATCCTTCAGGAGGGAACTAAAAACGTTTCTGTTTGCGCAATGAGCGCTTTGGTTGTTGTTTCCTTGTGATTTGTTGATTTCTTTCAGCGTCTTTGAAATTTGTTGAAAGGGCGCTAAATAAATTTACCTAATATATATATATATATATATATATATATATATATATATATATATATATATATATATATATATAATGTATATGGAAGATGTTTGGGTCAAAAATTTTTATATCTGGAATTGCCCAATTCTTAACGACAACCACCAGTTACAAGCAGTGGGCCTAGACTTTTTGCTTGAAGCACACAAGGAAACGTGGTTGCAGTTTATCTCGTGCCCAAGAGAGCACTGTTGTAAGCAGTGCACCTAGCCTTTGGGTCAAAGGTCCCTGTTCCACAAGGCAGTGGATTTAGAATCGAAGATCATCCGCTGTTGGAGCCGTTGTTGTAAGATCCATCCTCCGCCTCTTTCACCGTTGTCTTCTTTCTTCTGGTGTAGTTGGTTCGCGACATCTTATTCCGTATTATTCGATGCAATCCTAGGTGGTCTCCCTGCCCAGGACTTTCCCCTATCACCTGGGTACGCGCCTCATAGCCAGTGCACCCCAGCATGAAGGTTTTTGCTGAAAGCCATGAACTCTCCCTGTTGAACAGTTATTTCAAGAAGAGGGCAGAACATTTGATCATATATAAAAGCGGGATGTCATGAACACAAATTGACTTTATTAAAAGTTAAAAGAAGGTTAAAGATCAATTACACTATTCCAAAGTTCAGAGGATTCAACAAAGCGCACAAACATCGTATATGAAAACATGATAAACGACGCATCACACACGAAGCATGTGATAGGCGGGGATCTTTTTGTCATATAAAAACCCGGTTACTGAGAAACAGCACCAAAAGATCTTAACCATTAGACCATCACGCCGCCCTTAACCGTTATTGTCGTCATACAACAACACAGACGACTATTCAGGAATACAAAAGTCATTCCAGGCGAAGCATGCATCCCTCAACATCGATTGCTAGTGGCTGATGTGATCATGGAACGATCACGCCCTGTGACTAATGGAATGCCTACTAGAATAAAGACATGGAAACTGAAGAACCCCATGTTTAGTGAGAAATTTGAGGAGTTGGTAATAGCACAGCTGGATCGTCTAGAGAAGGTAGACATAACCTAGAAATCTTTTCAGGACACCCTAATGAACGCTGTAACAGCTGTATGTGAAAAATCTGGACCAAAACGCCAAGCACAACCGCGAAACTAGGTGGCGGAACGAGACGGTGCAAACTGCTATTGTCAGTAAGAAAGCAGCTTTCAAACAATGGCAGAAGACGAAGACTGATGAAGATCGAAAGACATACAGATCAAAGAACACAGAACCAAAATGTCAGGCTGCGAAAGCTCGTGCAAATCAATGCAAAGTATGGCAGTCTGGAAGTAAATGCAAACAAATTCGGTCACTCTACTGAATAGCATATCAGGCCAAAAGACTGAAAAAAGATATAGCTGGTGCCACATGCATAAAGAATAATAAAGGCATCATAATAACTTTGCAAAATGAAGTGAAGGATCACTGAAAGGATTACATCGATCAGTTATTGAATGAAATAACTGTGGGGAAATAACTTAGGGGTCTCGTGGCCGAGTGGTTAGCGTGTCCGTCTACCACTCCCACGACCCGGGTTTGAATTTTGCAGTTTCTACAGGTACATCCGGGTAGCCGACCCCGGTCAACCCAGCCGTCCATCCTTTTGAGGTTGGTAAATAGGTAGACGATGTGAGTTGTCGCATGTTGGCTGGCGAGATGGCTCAGTGGTTCAAATGCTCGCCGAGTCAAACATCTCAATGGCTATCATATACTCAGCGTATATGATGCGGTGCTTGCGCGTGCACATAAATACATGTGTACGTCGTGTGAAAAGGATGAACAGCCTTTGTGGCGAAGATGGCTGCTTCAAATCAATAGATGAGGATTTGAAGAACATAATAAAAGATATATAGATAATATATATCTGTAACATTGTAAGTGGTTCTGCGTATGTCAGAGCTGCAATGATAAAGACTAATAATAAAAAAGAAATAAACCCTATTGGAGTAGACTTTAATGCACTTCCGGTGGAAGGACCGATTCAGGACATCACAGCTGAGGAGCTTACGGATGCGTTGAAGGCAATGAAGGTGGGTATAGCGACTGGTTTGTCTGGACTTACAAATGATATCATCAAGGCATCTGATGGGGCAGGCTTCAGAGCCCTCTTACCTATCTGTCGGGAGATGTGGAGTAAATCGATACTACCAGTGGAATGAAACAGAGCACAACCGTCCCGATATATAAAGAAAATGAAATCCACTGAAATGCTCCTCATATCGGAGAATACGTCTTCTGGAATATCCCCGAAAGTTATTGAAAAAGTCATTGAGAGAAGACTGTAGTCGTGCGTTCAATAGGTGGTTACCAGTACGGCTTCGTGGCAGGGAGATCCACCATTGATGCTATCTATATCATTCGTCAACTACAGGAAAAGTACATGGCAAAGCAAAAGCGGCTGTTCCATATCCAGGAAGGATATTGTGGAGGGATTTGGATTGTGGAGGGATGACGCAACAGCCGGTAACACGAATGAATTTGATATTAACGTCGGCGTCCATCAGGGATCAATACTCAGACCCATGCTCTTCATCACGGCGATGGAAGAAATAACCAAACAGATACGCTCAGATAACATATGGAATGTGATATATGCAGATGATATCATCCTGACGGCGGCTTCAGAACAAGACGCAGCCAGAAAGTTTGAGGTCTGGAATACCCAGCTCGCCGAACAGGGGCTAAAAGTAAACCTTGACAAATGTCAAATATTAAAAGTTTTTTATTTAACCTTAATAAACTTCATCAAGATGATAAAAGTCTCGTTAGAAAAATTGAGAAATTCAACCGCAAGTTGAATAATGCCGAAAACGCAGTGATCTTTATAAATAATAAATAATTGTATTTATGATAGCCTAAACTCAAATATATATGTGTATATATATATATATATATACATATATATACATATATATATATATTGGATTATTGATGAAAATATCGAACATTACCAGACCTGGAACGTTGGTGCGAATCATAACTTTGGCATTAGCCTAAAGTAAGTATACGTACTTATGCATCAGTTTAACCCCTCTCTCCCCCCCGTCACACACTGTCACGCTGGACAAATCCCTCCCTCTCCCCCAGCGTGACATAATTTTTGAATGACCCCTTATTTGTTTTAGCAAAATTAGAATAATATATAAGCGTGTGTGTTGTGTGTGTGCATGGGAGAAATTAGAGAACGATGGCAAGATTGGTAAGTAATGAAGGATATACTTACTACTTCTCCAAGGGCAGCTCCTGACATTTGAGTTATTGGCTGCGGTAGGCTATTCGGCGCATGTCCCTTGACAATTGTATATGTGCAGAAGAATAAGGCAGCTGCACTGGTGAAATAAACTTAGTTTCATCCAAAATATAGATTTTTATTATGATTACGCTATTAGCAGTTATTTTTGAAATAATTTTTAGCATCCAAAAATGTTAATTTCTCATTTTTATATGCACAAATTAAATCATTCTAGAATAAGTAAATTTAAAATTAGAAACACAACATTATATTATTTTGAAAAACAAACTAATATTAATTCAAACAGGTATAATAAATTAATAAAAATGTTCTGCACCTCCAGGGGCGGACCCAAGAAGAGCTGGAGTGATGCCTTTGTAAATTGATTTAAAGCCACCAGACTTATAGAAACCTTTGGATGATTGAAGACGTGTCTTAATGGCATCTAGAGGGAACAAAACCCCGTCCACACAAATCCCTGCTATTGAGCCACCCTACAATGATTTACAAAAAAATACAGTCACATAATTGTAATACAATCTATAAGCACGAAAAAATAGGCATTGTTATAAAAAAGAAAAACTAAAATGTAACATTTCACAGATTTCTACAACGCTGGAGTTAGGTTGAAACAACACTTAATCAATGATTCACTTAAAATATAATTTCCAACATTTATAATAATTTAATAAATCACAATAAATATTTGTTAATGATGTAGATTTTGCCGGGCGACATTCGAATTCCGCACCACGCGGTCCCGAACCGCGTCCGCATACGAATATCCACCCGAGCCTTCGCTTCGGCAGAGTCTTTCCTGGCCGGGATCCGCCACTCTACAATAGATCCTCTCAGGGTCTGAAAACACGGGCCGGGCGGAAGTTTGTTCGCGCCCTGCTTGTTGACTAGAGACGCCGACCTCGTCAACTATCAGCAAGTCTTTTTCAACATCCATTATTTTAGGTAGAATAATTAAGCCGAGCCAAACTTCAAGTGTACACTTCTTTTATTCAATAAAAGAAATAAAATAACAAACAAAATAATACAAATCAAACCTGTCTTTATTAAAAAAAACGATAAATCCAAAATTAATCTATTAATAATACAACTACCAAGCAAGAGACAAAACCTAAAATTAAAATAACAAACGACCCGCCTCCTATATCTCAACTCGCGGCCTTTTATATGTTTTTACCGCCATACCTACATAACGCTTTCTATATCATAGAAAATTCTATACTCGCATCTACCGTGTTTCCTCATATATAAGACATCCCTCAAATATAAGACCTAGCACGTTTTTTGTCTATTTTTCTAATATAAGCCCTCCCTCGAATATAAACCCTCCCTCGATTATAATTTCTAGTATGAATCAGCTGACAACAACAAAAACTTCTGTCAAAACCACACCGGAAACGTCAACTGCTGCAAGATTTTTCGTTTTTCGAGGATTTTTCGTTTTTCGAACTGTTTTTCCTCCTTCAAGCATATCCTGAGGTTACAAAGCTGTCAAAGTAAGGGTTGTTTTTTCTATTTAAATAAACTATTTTGTAACATTTTGCCCATATTTAAGATGAGTGGCAAGAGGAAAAGTTACTCTGTCGAACACAAAAAAGGAATTGTGGAAGAATGCAGAGATCAAAATATTACTGCATTTTGCAAAGAGAAGAAGTTGGACGTACGAATGGTTAGGAAATGGCGAGCACAGTATGATGATCTCAATCAAAAGGTTGAAGATGGGCAGGCAAAAAAAAGAAAATGTGGCTCTGGAAATCGTCTATTCTTTCCAGAGTTAGAAGACATCATCTTTGACTGGATTGCTGAGAAGAGAGAAAACCGTATGGTTGTGCGCAGAGCTGAGATTCAAGCTTTTGCTCTCGAGATGGCTCCTACACTTGACATCCCTCCTGAGGAGTTCAAAGCTTCAAAATGTTGGCTGGATCGCTTCCTTCAGCGGTATGAACTCTCACTACGAAGATCAACAACACTGTTCAAGCTTGAGGATAAAGAAGCTGTCAAGAGAGCTCTCATGTTCAAGTCTTTCATGGATGGTTAGGATTTTTCAAAGTATCAGCTTTCCAACATGATTGCTATGGATGAGACTGCTGTTTACATGAGTCAGGACACTCAAAAGACAGTCGACTTCAGAGGAGCTTCATCAATTTATGTACCATCAACTGGATATGAAAGTGCACGCGTCACCTGCATTTTGGCAATTCGTCTGGATGGGAAGAAAGCTGCTCCACTTCTTATTACCAAAGGAAAGAAAGAAAAGATTGAATGCCAGGGAGGAGTTTATGTCTTGGAATCAGAAAAGGCATGGAGTACACAGAATGTAATAAGAAAATGGGTGGACCTTATGCTGCCACTTGTTTTAAGAGGAAGTCAACGAGGTCTCCTCATTTGGGACTCTGCAAGTACTCATCGTGCAAAGGATATGAAAAACTTCTTGGCAGAAAGAAGGGTTGATCAGGTTATGATCCCAGCAGGGATGACTGCTTACCTCCAGACCTTGGACATTGCAATAAACAAGCCTTTCAAGGATTACCTCAGACTTGAAATCAATGATTATATTGAGAATAGGATGTCAAGGAACAAAAATAACAACTTCGTGAAGCCTAATCTGCAGGAGGTAGTCTCTTGGGTAAGGAATGCATGGGGCAAAGTCACTGATAGCTGTGTTGCAAAGGCTCTGAAAGCAGGGTACTTGGACAAAACATCGCCATTTGAAGCGAGCTACATCGCAAAACACGATAGATTGGGACCTATGATACTGAAGGAGCTGGAGTCAAATGAAATCTTGGCTGGAATTTAAGGTCTTGATCTGGAAGAAAATGATGATATCCCAGAAGATGATCTTATTGTATTTGAATAAAATATTATTGTATTCGGGAAAAATAAATGATGTCGAAAAAATTGGCATAATAATATAAGCCCTCCCTCGAATATAAGACCTAGGGCAATTTTTGAGAAAAAATTAATATAAGACCCTGTCTTATATTCGAGGACACACGGTATACTTTTTTCCTATACTCAGAAAAGCGATACAGCACAGCAGCGTCGCATATATAGCATATCAAATAACAAAATACACATGCATAGAATGTCTAGCAAAATATATAGATATGTATAGGCGGCACGCCTCAAAGACGCAATCATTATCATCACAATTGTCACAAAATATACAGGCGGCATATTTCAATCGCGCAATCATTATCATCACAATACAGGCGGCATATTTCAATCGCGCAATCATTATCATCACAATCGTCACAACTTCACAATGATATATTATATATGATGCATATTCATAAATATTTTTTGTTTTCTCACTGTCACTTCTTTCATCCTCTCCCCATTCCTTCCTATCCAACATTCAACATCATTAATTTGATAAATTTAATTGAACAAGGTCAGGTCATTTTAGTCTTGGAATTTCCTTTTCGGGATCATCTTTGATTATAATGCTGTGCAATTTGTATTATTTATTTAATACTTTTTGCTTTGCTATATATATATATATATATATATATATATATATATATATATATTATTTCATTGTATTTGGACCTAGAATAAAAACTAACCTCATTAATATTCAAACTAATGTTAAATAACAATGTTATCAATCGAGTAAGTTCAAAAAAGTTTTGGGTATAACTATGTCAAGTACTTTATCCTAGTCTGATCATATTTATTCTATCTCTAAAAAGATTTCTAAAAACTTACGCTTAATACATCGACTAAGACTTAAATTTCCAAACCATTTTTTACAGACATTGTATAACTCAATTGTATTGCCTTATTTAACATATTGTATCTCTATTTGGAGTTTTTCCACTAAATATAATCTTCATCTTCTTAATGCATGTCAGAATTATTATTTACGAATTGTTTTTGGTCTTAATAAATATGCTCATGTCAGTCGGTACTACTGTATAAACATATCTTAAAAGTAAATCAGTTACACATTTTGTACAACATATAATTCGTTTTCTGTTTTAAATAATTTATATAAATTAATAATTATTTGTTCTTTCTTATCTTATCAAATATCTTACATATATTATATTACATTATATATAATGCACTGAAGATGAGTTATCTATAACTCGAAATAGCTATCTGCTAATTTATTTAATAAAATTCTTAAAACAATAAAATGTCTAATTTTTCTGACATTAATAAACTAAAAAGAAATGTTGCGTTAACAACAGTCTGTTACCAAAAGTTACGTTAACACGCTAGAATAAACCACGGAGTATTTCTGCAGAAATTAAAAACAGGAAAACATTACTCTTAAATGAGTTATCCAGAAAAGAACAATTTAGAACTATGGAATCGTCAACAAAATTGTTAAATGACTCGATTGATGAAAGATCGTTATATTCGTTTTCTGTTTTTAATAATTTATATAAATTAATAATTATTTGTCCTTTCTTACCTTATCAAATATCTTACATAAATTATATCACATTATATACAATGCACTGAAGATGAGTTATTTAAAACTCAAAATAGCTATCTGCAAATTTATTTAAAAAAATTTTTTAAACAATGAAATGTCTAATTTTTCTGACATTAATTAACTAAAAAGAAATATAAAAAATTTGAACAATGTTGAAAGTAGTGTTGAATTTTTGAAATATATATAATATATACATATATGTGGGTAATAGACCATAATTTTTACAATATTCTATAAATTCCACCGAATGTTTGGTGTTAATATGTTTGTAGTTCGTTTACTACAAACATATTAACGCCAAACATTAAATTTCAAATAAATGAGATATCATAGTCTATTTTAGTTAGGATTGCGCGAAGGTAAAGTTCGCGACGGTTTCGGCGACGGTGAAGCATATCTAACAGGCCGAACCAATCATGAACGTTTATTTTAATTCCCACGCACATATCCATGCAAGCATGTGAGTCTACTTGAATGCCTACAATGTAAAAACTATCTTTTTAAAAGAATACCGTACCCTATAGAATTATTAAATAATTGATGAAAGTTAAACAGATGTTATGTTTTAATGATTTTTTAAAACTTTTTTTCAATATTTTACGATAAAACCTTAATACTAACATTCTAATAAATAACAAGTCTTAATAGCAATTCACTTTTAAACATGTTTATGCATTAATCGTCCTCTCATTTTCACTTCTAAATTTTAAATTTTAATGCGCTGAGGTTCTAAAGTAGCTTTGCCATGAAAAGAACAAATAAGCAGGAAAAATGAAAATTGGAATAAAAAATAGGCCAAAAAAAGCCATTGAGGCATTGGCAGAATGCAATTCCAGTCTATTTCCAAAATATTCAGACACTCTTATCAATTATATGTCCTATGGCCAATGGCGTCACTAGGGGGGTGCGGGGGGTGCGGACCGCACCGGGTGACACCCTCACAAGGGGTGACACCAAAATATCACTTTATATGTTTTTATGTCCCTCCATGAAATTATTTTTATCATTGATTCAGCCTAACCCGCCCAGCGCCCAGAAATGTATTATGAATAAAATTTTTTCGTTCAAATCATTTTTTGTATTCGACGTTTATACCATTCGAATTCGACGTCCGAATTGTTAAGCGCCGCGGCCGCGCACATTTAATTTGTTCGTGTCTAACATAACGTACAACAGTGTTTGTTTTGCCCACCAACTACAAGCGTATGTTAGTCAAGTTTAAGAGAATAATCTATAATTTACTTAAAGTAAAAAATTATTTAATTTTTAATCAATTTAATGATATACGACAACAATTCAAAGTAATTTCACAAAAGTTGATCCCTGATCCGTAAGTACAAATATAATTTATTTTATTAGCATTCAAATAATTTTAAAATTTTTACATTTAACCAACCAAATTTCAAATAATTTCATTTTATTTGTTTATATTTATATATTTATTGTTGAAGGATATTATATCATGCCACGTAAAGGTGGAGTTCATACAACATATAAAATTAAAGCATCTTATCTTGCACCAAATACTCAGAATGAGTTTATTCATGTCCTTGCTTATCATGGATATAAAATCTGTCCGGTGTTTTGGTATCATGTTTGATAGCACACCTGACGCATCACACACTGACCAAATGTCTGAAATTATCAGATATGTGAAAATTCATAGTAGAAAAGTTGAAGTAAGAGATGTGTTTCTGGGATTTTTTCCTTTAAAAGGGAAAAAAGCTGCTGATCTCAGTTTTGATATTTTCGAAAATTTGGAAAGTGATGGACTCGACTTTATGATGTGCCGTGCTCAAGGTTACGACAATGCTGCGACTATGGCTAAAATCCATGGGGGTGTACAAGCCATTTTGAAAAGAAAGAACAGGAAAGCTATTTTTAATGGTTGTGTGGACCATTCTCTTAACTTGTGTGGCCAACACTCTTTTGCTGAAAATGCTTCGTGCGTGACTTTTTTTTGGAACTCTTGAGACAATGTTTTCATTCTATGCTGCTTCCACTCACCGATGGGATGTTTTAATGAACCACACTGGAGTTTCATTAAAATGATTATCAACAACACGCTGGAGTTTTCATCACGCAGCAGTAAAGGCAGTGAAAGAAAAATTCGATAAATGTGTGGCGGCAATAGAAGGTCTATGTGATCCAGGGGAAAATCTAGACACAAGAGGTACAGCCCGAGGTCTTTTACCTACTATCTGCAATTTCACTTTTCTGTGCTACCTCTTCTTTTGGTGTGATGTACTTGAAGAAGTAAATCTAACGCAGACTAAGGGCTTAAGTCTTGACAAGGTGGTGACAAAGCTAGAGACACTAAGACTTTTTATGTATGAGAAGCGCAATTATCTTGTGGAGCAGGCAGTTGAACAGGCACTTATAAAATTAGACCAATATGGAATTTTAGTAGAGAGCAGACCCAGGTTCAAGAAGAGGATGGCAGGCGAGCGCGAGAGAGATGCTGGACTTACTCTGCAGGAAGAAAACACGAGAGCGATGTATGAGTGTATTGATCGTTTCCATTCTGAACTCCAGATCAAATCAAGAGCCATCAAGGAAGTAGCAGCCATGTTTGAGGTTGTTCAAGCCAAGAGTTTGATATCTGCTACTGAAGAAGAGTTATTGGTAAACATTCCAAAATTGACCACATTCTATGATGAGTTATCAGAGATAGAGCTTTTATTAGAAATACCAAGACTGAGAAGACAACTAAAGGCAGCAGAAATTGATCTTGAAGAAGCCAAAGACTGGTCAGTACTTGACATTTTGAAATTCATAGTTGAATGGGACTTCCTAGAATCTCTCCCATATCTCTCAGTGAGCCTACAATTATTTCTTACAATCTGTGTGTCTGCGGCTTCATGTGAGAGGACTTTTTCAAAGCTAAAGATTATAAAGAACTATTTGCGATCTACTATGGGACAGTCTAGGCTTTCTGATCTTGCAATATTATCAATTAAAAAGAGATTTGGCAAAAGAAGTTGGTTTTGATGAAGTAATTACCAAGTTTGCATCTCTAAAGGCGAGGAAAGGGAAGTTCTGATTTAATTGAGATTTTATGTGACATAAAATTTAATGTAAAAATAACAATTAAAAAAGTTTTATTTCTTAAAATCTGTGATAGATCACAATTTTTTTTAAAGAATAAAATTTGGCTAAGAATGCTCTATGTCTATGGGGTGTCGGTGTCATGAGAGGGATGACACCATGAGTTACCGCACCGGGTGACACAAACCCTAATAACGCCACTGCCTATGGCAGTTCTACCAGTATCAACACTGAAAAATTATCTGATAAATATCTCTAATGTGGAACGACTCACTTCATTGGCACTACTATCTATTCATCGGGATATATCTATCCAAGTGGACAACGACATGATTTTCGACCATTTAAACCAAAAAGCACGTCGCTTAAATTTATATATTTAAAAAAATTAATAAAATACAATGTACTTTTGTTTATATAATTTTGTTGGGTTTTTTTATATTTTGTAAATAAAGCTGATTTAATCGGATTCGTTTTTTCCTTGATTTTAACTGTAAAAAAAAGTATTCCGACAGCCCCCCGAAAAATAATCCTGGCTACGGCCTTTTGTATATATATATATATATAGAAGCTTATTTTTTTGAACATGGCGGTCGCAATTGTTTATGTTCCTAACGAATTACTCTATTTCGTTTTTAATAATTTAAAATTTTCAAAATGAAGAAAATGACGAATTTTTAAATAATGTTATACGTTTCTATTCTAGTGAAGACATTACTAATGCTTGACAGGAAATAATTACAGACATTGAAACAGCAAAGCTGGAATATTTGAAAAATTCAAAAACTGGAACAAAAAAAGAAAAATTCTTGGATATTCTGTCAATAATTAATAACATTGTGAACTGCAAACAAACTGAAAAAATTCCGTGTTACGTAAGTATTGATGACAAAAAGGTGCCGTCGCATGTGGTAATGTTATAATTCAATTTCAACACAATATTTTCCAAATTGCATCACATAGAAACTACTCTAAACAATTCTACCAACAAAGCTTCAAATGCGAGTTTGCACAGTCAAAATAATGCAAACATGTTCGACAAGTATAATGAAAATCAACTACTAAATAAAACAAACATAAAGACAAGTGAACCTTCACCTCCTAGTAGTAACAGCTCAAATTTGAATAAATTGCATTGGGCAGATGCTGTTAGATCTCTACCAAGAACCCCTCAACCTACACCTCCTTGGCATTCAGCTGGTGGGAGAAGTGCGGACATAGATGTCTTTGAGCAAAAATAAATATAAATAAAAATTATAGGCAAAAAAATTACTGAAAAATGTAAACTTAAAGCTGAAAAACTACTAGTAAACAAAACTGTCTACTCAATGAGTAATGTTCAGAAATGTAACAGGACAGATGTTGAAGAATTCTTAACTTCAAATGGGATAAAAGTACTTACTTGTTTCTCAGTCTTCAAAAAATCAGAATTGGAGTCAGAAATAAAAGATCAAACAGAAAAAAACAACAGAGAGACAACATCATTCCGCATATGCATTGACAGTAAAGATTCACAAAAAATGAAAGACCCAACCATCATACCAAATGACATTATTGTTCGGGAATGGCAATTTAATAAAAACAAACAGCAAAAAAATGGATAACAAAACAAATTTCACAGTGGTTTTTGAAGAGGATGAAGAAGAAGACAACAGCTCACAAGTAATAAAAACATGCAAGTTATTCAATGTTGAGAATTTGAATAAAACATATAAAAAAATTAAGTCTATAGACAATCATTTCAAGTTGTTAAAATTAATGCATATAAATTCAAGAAGCCTATTAAATAAATGTGAGGAAATTGATGATCTTTTGAGAACAGTTGTGTTTGATTTTGATATCATAGCTATAAGTGAAAGTTGGTTAAATAAAACGAATGAAAGTCTGATAGATATTGAAGTTTTTGCATTTGCAGGAAGATATCAAGATATCGAATTTTGAAGCACGGAGGAGTTGGATTTAACATCAACAAAGACATGCAATATAAAACACGTGACTTTAAAAACATAACAGAACCAGAATTTGAATATTTTGTAATTGAGTTAATTAACAAAGCACCAATAAGAAATGTGATTATAGTTATCAGACTTAAAAAATGTCTTATGTACAATTATGTACAAACAATTTCGAATGTGACTATGTTCCAAATGATTCTATTCTATTTAACATTCTTGTTAACTTAAACATTTTCAACTGATCAACAATCTTATCATATTTGTTAAAATTTTTAATTTTTCTCTTGATGACATTACATTTACATTTTAATTTGGATTATTTTCTATTAAGGTTACTGTGCACGATGAGTCTCTTAAAGACTCCCTACAGTAGTCCTGTACCTTAATTTTTCTTTGAGGTCGAATAAAAAAATATAGTATTGTATTATATATATATATATATATATATATATATATATATATATATATATATATAATATATATATAATATGCTTTGCCTTCTTTGCATATATATTATATATATGATAGCTTTATGTGTGTGTGTGTGTGTGGTGTGTGTGCTGAAAATCAAAATGTTACGTGTATGAATTGCACGCTACAGGTATCAATATCGCTAACAGATACAGTTATCGTTTAACATTTTTTAGTTATAAAAAAAAAATCTTTAGTAACTCTTCTTTGCCTATACCACTTTTTTTGGACGTAACTCATGAATTTATCAAAGAAAGAATCCATCGCAAAACTCGCAATTATAAGAAAACTAGTTTCAAAAAACTGTTCTGAAAAAGCCGCCTAATAAACAAGCGCTGAAAAAGGACGCTGTATAAAAGCGAACCTCTATCCAACAAACTTTAAATTCACATATTGATAATTTTAGTGTTACCAAATTATGAAACTATAAATTTAGATCTATTTTTGTTCTTATTATATATAATTATTTTTTCGTGCCGGGATTATACGTATTAAACAATTCGTGTGAATAGCAATTATTGACATTATATAAGTTTTTGTTCAATTATATACATGTTTAATTATATTTTTATATCCATGTTAAAAAACCACGTTTTTCACTTCTGTGTTGGATATTTTGTTACGTACTGTCAAGGTTGAAAAAGTTATTAAACTGTTCGAGCAATGTCCATTTCGTTGTTTGGCGACAGTTATGTATGATGGAAATTACTTAAAAATTAACAATGACTTCATTACCCAAGATGATAAACGTGTCATATTGAAAGGAAAGCCTGGTGGGAAGATCGGAGGGTTGATTAACTGATTTTACAGAACCTACAGAGCATAATAACATGCAACAACAATGCCTTAGCCAAGTGGTTGCTTGATAACCAAACAATCGTCCAGAGCAACAGAGATGATGTCCTAATGATATTGGAAGATAATATAGCTGACATACAATGTTTGTTGCAGCAAGTTGATAACACTGATGTCATCAATGAAACCAAGCCAATCAGGCATCACACGATGAAACTGTTGCAATTGTTGAAAACAATTCGCGGGCATGAGGTATTGATATATCATTTATAATGTATTATAATTTGCATGTACTACATCAATTTATTTGTAATAAACATTGCCTCAAATCTAATATTCCCTTTTTGCATATTTGTAACTTTTTGTCGTCTATTTCTAATTTCCAAGAGGTACATGAACTGAACGAAGAAGGAAAAGAGATTAGTTGCAGGATGTACACCAATTACACCGTGCATCTTTCAAATAGTGCAGTTGAAGAAGAGGTGTAGCAAGGCCTCGTCGAAAAAGATGCATCATCAACTGAGCGTATCTGCACCGAGGTAGAAAATGCCATCGCCCTGCATAGTAAATAGTAAACGCGAGAATCGTTAGCGTTACATTATTCATCTCAAATACAAATTTGAGATGTGCAGATTATTTAAGGTTAATGCAAGTCACAACAAAATTGATATTTATACATCGTCTACTAATTATAACCATAATGGAAAATTGGTAGAACAACTAAGGGATCAACGTAGAAAAAATTTGTATGAAAAAATTTTGAAATTGCAACATCCGTCTGTTTTACGTGAAAAACGCATAAGATCCGCCAATCCTGCATTAACGAAACAGAAAAATCTACAAAATATTCATTCGTTGGAGGTATTTAAAAATGTAAAATGTGATGCTATAGGGGATAAGGCAAATGATGACGTTATTGATCTAATAGAACGTCAAAAATGTCAAAGAACGGGTAAAATTTTATGCTACCTTTTTTTCTGACAACCAAATTGAAGTTATTTTGAGATTAGGTCAGACAGACTTACCAACAATATAAATTTAGATTCAACGGGGTCTGGTGTTCGTCGTCTTCATAACAAACAAACTATGTATCTATACAGCGCCGTGGTAGATCTTGATGCGGGTTACGCTCAAATTTTTGATTTTATAACCGATCGCCATGACACAGCTTCAGTTGCTTATCATTTGATAAATTTTAAAAGATACGTTATAAAAAAAGGTAAACGCCTGGCCAATTTTTATAAACGTGGTAACAGACCACTCAATGGCAAAGATAAATGCCGTTTTAACTGGTTGGATTGGAGCTGATTTGATAGGTTACCTAAACTTTTTAAAAAAATATATATTTCGATTTTGCCTCTTTGGACAGTTCCTTTTTAATAAAAACGGAGAACGAACAAGCAATAGCAAAATAAAAAATTGTTTCAGGTTTATTAAACACCAATTGCTAAATGGGTCAACAAATTTAAAACAGGTCGTTTTGCGGAGTTGTTGAAAAACCATGCTGATGCGCGTACGAAGGAAATTCTACTGCAAATACCCGCTTTTTGTAAAAGAAAAATGAAAACAGTGGTAAAAAAATGTGAGGAAAATAATTGGGGGAAACGTAAACCTTTCAAAAGTTATTTCAACAGCATAGTTACCGTTAAAATACCCACAATAATTTGCAGCAATGATCAAAGTTCAAATGGCCACAGCAGCATCTGTATCACAAATTCCAACATTCCGAGCAACAAATGCTATCACGAGCAAATAATCAGAAGAAATTGCTACGTTGCCAAAAAGGAAATGATTGGTTGTTGCTTTCGGATTTTCAGACTGTGATTGGGGAAAAATGGGTAAGTAGCTTACTTTTAGATTTTTTGTCTCACTGGTTTACCAATTCAATCTATATATCTTGTAACTTATCCACTACTGTAATTTTTCAAAATTTTACTTGTGCTAGCCCCATCTTCAAATGCTTTTTTAATGATTATTATCAGTGTTGTTTAATAATCGGATTACAAGTAATCCGATTACGTAATCGATTACATTTTTTTTAATCTGTAATCGCATCCTTTATAAAAGTAATTTGTAATCAAATTACATTTTTTGTGTAATCTAATCACGATTACCTTATTTTAGATTACTTTAATCAACGACAACAATACATTTTTTTAAATACCTAAGATTTTTAAAATTTAAAAACTAAAAAAATGACTTTTTCAAAAAGAAATAGTTTATCCATTGACTTCGATGCTTTTTAGTTAGACCGCTCACGTAATGTTAAAAAGTTGGTCTGCTCAAGAACGTTATGAAGCAGGATAAGCAAAGTCGCTTCTGGTTCAAACTTGTTTGAAATTTCATGTAATTTTAAAAAAATACAATTTTTTAAATTATTTTATGAATAATTACAATTTAATAATTCAATAAAAGTTTAAGATAAAATTAAAATCTATTAATTAATTGATTAATTCAAAATTTGAATGCAAAAGTTTGAACTATTTCTTGCTTATCCTTATGTTATTCAAAGACCATTGATTTGTTGTGGATATTCAAAATTGGGGTATTCCAATTTTGAGTCAATTTTTTAAGCCTAACATTGAGGAATGCTGTCCGACCTCGTTGAATTTATCTAAGTTAACAAAACAAGAATCGATAAATCAATGCTTTAAAACTCTTTTTCGATCATATCAGTATGCCTATAAACGCATAAAGTCATCATGTGTTTGCTTACAGGTTTTTTTTCTATGGACTGTATATTTAAAAACGAAATCTTCTGTTAATTCACTAATAACTAGATTTTATTTTAATTTATCTAATAACTAAAACATAAAATACTAACCCTGTAAAATTTAAATTTAAAGTGTTAAATTTACATAGGACTTTATTTTTAAATGCATCAAAAAACAAAACTCGTACGTACCTTCCAAGGAGATTATATAAGGAGAAGCAAACGTAAACAAAAATGACAGACACTTTCTATTGTTAATATGCCAAAAACAAATATGGATGGCAGAGAAATAAGTGCTGATGTTCGCGTATCATGTATTGGTACCTTCCTGTTTACTCAAGTGAAATTTAAACGCGCCATTCAATTAGATATTTAAACACGCCCATCAATTAACATTTTTTATCATTCGCTTAAAGCAAAATGGCGGAAAGTATTAAAATTGAAAAAATTAGCGATGATGGACAAGATCACGTTCCTCTGATTTTGAATGGAAAATATTTTAAAATTGAGTCTCGACGAGGTAACAGCGTGACTGCGAAATGTCTCATGTGCTTGCCAGCTGTAAATAAATGTGTAACGGGCAGCACAACGTCAAATTTTGTTACTCACATGAAACGAGTTCACAAAAATTCGGTATTAGAATACAAGATATACTAAGAAAAATGTTTACTTGATTTAAAATGAAATATAAAAAGAAAAGGAAGTGTGGAAATTCCTAATGCAAATTGAAAAAAAAATGAAACAAAGAAAATTAGATTTTGACAATAATACATCGGTGTCTCAAAACAAAATTAATGATCTCATTATGAAATTTATAGTAAATGGACTTCAATCATCAAGAATTTTTGATACCCAAGCCTTTAAAAATCTTGTGGCAGGTGAGTGATATGTTGGTTTATAATGTAATTTTCTATATATTTTAATGACATTTAAATTAATCTTTACTTTTTAAATAATTTATATATTATGTAAATTAAAAAACACTAACATTACTTTTACCAATTAAATAACACAAATACAACACAATAATCAGGTATGAATTAGACATGTTATTTATTTTAATTATTTAAATTTTAAATATATAACATAGTGAAATTGTGACGATTGCGATGATAATGATTGCGTCTTTGAGGCGTGCCGCCTGTATATATCCATATAATTTAGTAGACATTCTATGTATGTATATCTTGTTATTCGATATGCTATATATGCGACGCTGCTATGTGCTGTTTTGTATATAGGGAGTATAGCATATGCGACGCGTGCTACGAGCTGTTCTAAGTATAGAAAAAAGTATAGAAGGGAGTATAGAATTTTTTATGATATAGAAAGCGTTATGTAGATAGGGCGGTAAAAACATATAAAAGGCCGCGAGTTGAGATATAGAGGGTAGGTCGTTTTTTTTATTTATTTTAGGTTTTGTTTTTAGCTTGGTTTCGTTCTGGTATCGCTTGATAGTTTGCCTGATAATTATAGTATTAATAGATTGTTAATTTTGGATTTATCGCTTGCTAATAAAGACAGAGGTTTGATTTGTACTATTTTGTTTTTATTGAATAAAAGAAGTGTACACTTGAAATTTGGCTCGGCTTAATTATTTTACCTAAAAAAATGTATGTTGAAGAAGACTTGCTGATAGTCGACTAGGTCGGTGTCTCTAGTCAACAAGCAGGGCGCGAACAAACTTCCGCCCGGCCCGTGTTTTCAGACCATGAAAGGGTCTATTGTAGAGTGGCGGATTCCGGCCAGGAAAGACTCCGCCGAGGTGAAGGCTCGGGTGGATATTCGTATGCGGACGCGGTTCGGGACCACGTGGTGCGGAATTCGAATGCCGCCCGGCGAAAATTTACAACATTAATGATTAATGCTTTTGAATGTTACTTATTGTACTGTCCTTTACTTTATCCTCCTTGGCTTGATTTTGAATTGACTTGGATTGACTTTTCTCAATCTTATTTACTAACTTTGCATTCATTACTGTTTTTATTTATACTATTAGGTCTGGCTCCATATGCAACTGTTATGACAAGAGCTACCTTATTAAAGAAACTTCAGAAACAGATAAAAACTCTTAAATTATCGTTAAAGCAGCACCTTGCTTCTCTAAAATATTTATGCATAACAACTGATGCATGGTCAACTGCAGAAAAAGGTTATTTAGGTGTAACTGTTCATTGGATCTCATCACAATTGATAAGACAATCTGCTGCATTGTCTTGCTGTCGTCTTCGAGAAATGCACACATACAATTTGATTGGAAAAACTTTACAAAAAATTTTCAATGAATATGACATATCTGCTGATGCCAAGATTGTGTGCTGTATCACTGACAACGGTGCAAACTTTATAAAGCATTTCGTGAATTTGGAATTTGCTATACGAACATAGCATCTATTTCAGAAAAATCTGTTTTAGAACAAGGGTTTGATAATGATGATGACGATGATACTGAGGAAGACTATGATAAAATTGAGATAGCATCTATTGAAAACATTGCAAGAGATGCTGAATTAGACCCTGATGTTTACATAATTTTGCCACCTTACTATCCTTGCTCTAGTCACACTCTTAGTCTTATTGCTGTGATTGATTCTCAAAAAGCTTTAAAAGAAAATGCAATATTCAAGAAACTTCACAATTCAAAAATGGCAAAGTGTTCGGCACATCTTCAAGATCAATTAAAAGTTCAGATGCTATTGATAAAATTGTAGTACATAGACGATTAATAAAGCCATCCTTAATAAAGGATTTCTATCGTCGCCATTTCTGAAACCTGGCTTACTTCACAGACAAAACCTCTCGCCAGGTTGGATGGTTATAATTTTGAGGATCATGTGAGAGATTGTCCAACAATGTGGAATTCATTGTATGATTCATTATTATTAGTGCTAAATGGCATAAAAAATTCATAATGTAGCAGTATTTAAAGATAATGAGTTAGAATACATATCGGAGTATATTACTGTTTTACATCCTGTTGCTGCTGCTTTGGACAAACTGCAGGGTGATAAGTCTGAAAGCAATGCTTTTATGGGGTTCTTGATTCCTACTCTTTCATCTGTCAAACAAAAACCGGGTGATATAATTCAATCAGGTTCTCTGAAACATTGTTGTCCACTGGCAAAGGCCTTGTTATGTGGTGTAGAGAGACGATTCGAACAACTTACTGAATTAATCATTCAGCCAATAATTTTATCATTGCAGCAATAGCACACCCTTATTTTAAACTACGTTGGATACCACAACAACATGTTGAAAAATGTTGTACATTGTTTATTAATGCATGTATCTAAATGGAAATAGATGTGAAAAATATAAGCCCAATTTCAATAGATACAGTCATACAATCATCAAATAATGACGAATTTTTTGAATTTGTAAAGGTTGTTGATCAGCCCAGTAGCAGTAAGGTTCAAGTGCTCTTTATTTGGAAAAAGTAGCAACAGATTTGATAGTGCTGGACAGATAAAAGAAGTTGTTATTAAGTTCAATACACCAGTACCTTCATCAGCACCAGTTGAGAAACTTTTTTCACATGGTGGCTTGATACAACCAAAAAAAAGTACCAGACTTGGGGATGCTGTTTTCGAAAATCTGCTATTGATGAAGGCTAATGCTGATTTTCTTGAAAAAGATGATTGAAATATTAATTTAAATGAAAGAATTAATACCATGTCTATTATTATTTTAATGGAAAGATAATTGAACTAAAATATTAACACCATGTTTATTAACTTTAGACTACAAGTATATTATGAAATATGTATATAAACATATATAATATATTATATATGTTTTATTTTTTGTATTAAAAACTATCTTTTGTTTATATATTTAGTATTCTTTGCTATTTTTATACAGAGTGAGCCAAAAGTAGGTGGACAGCCACTGGAATAAATTTATGCATTATTTATATTAACACATTATCTATTATAACTAATGATACAACTATGTTGTTTGTGTTATATAATTAAAACTCTAAATCCACAATTATTCTAATTTAATCTAATTTCTTATTAATCTCTAAATAAATATTTTTTACCGTCCACCTACTTTTGGCTCACCCTGTATATTAAGCATTATGCTATTAATTGCATTAAAACTTTTAATTTGGATTTCTCTATAATTTTATTAATTGCTTAAAATTTGCTTATGCTCATAATAAAATACATTATAAAAAACTATCATTTTTCACATAACCAAAATATTTTGTTATCTTAGTATTGATGTAATATTATATTAAGTATTATAAAATGTAAGCATATGTATTCATAAGACTATGTGACACTCATTAAATAAATTTCCTATGATGTAATCTGTAAGTTCAAAAAGTTTGATGATGTAATCTGTAATCGGACACATCATTGCAAGTAATCAGTAATTTGTAATCTTAAGCTAATTTTAAAAGTAATTTGTAATTTGGCATCAGATTACTTTCCAAAAAGTAATCTATACAACACTGGATATAATTTTCAACATTTATAATAATTTAATAAATCACAATAAATATTTGTTAATGATATATTATATATGATGCATATTCATAAATATTTTTTGTTTTCTCATTGTCACTTCTTTCATCAATATTCAACATCATTAATTTGATAAATTCAATTAAACTAGGTCAGGTCATTTTAGTCTGGGAATTTCTCTTTCAGGATCATCTTTGTTTATAATGCTATTGCAATTTGTATTATTTATTTAATACTTTTAGCTTTGCTTTAATATTTCCCTATACAGTAAAAGTCCTCTAGAGCGGGACCCTAAAGAACGGACAGATAAGAGTAACGGACAGTATTGCTTGGCACGGAACCGTTTTGCATGTTAAATAAACCCTAAAGAACGGACATTTTAGAGGAACGAACTACGGACAGGGTTTTAAGTACAAATTGACTTTTATGTCTTAAAGAGCGGACAATTTATAACAAAAACACATAAAATATTTGATAAAATGCGCCATCTAATTTGAATATTTGTATTTATTCTATTCTATGGAATGCGCTAAAGAAACTTTGATAATCTTTGGTTATTTAAAAAAAATTATTTTCGCTCTTTGATTTTTTATCGTGGTCGTGTTGATAAACTGTTGTGTAATAATGGAGTCGACTCTGCGAAAAAAATTTTTAAACTTGGAAGAAAAAATGCTGGTGGTGAAAAAATTAAATGATGGAGTTAGCATACGAAAAATTGCTAAAAATTTGGTTGCGGAAAAACTCAAATTGCAAATATTCGTGAAAATAAAGAATCTGTAAAAAGGCAGTGGGAAGCGGGAGTGCCAAGTAAGAATAAAACGTTGAAAAGACGAAAAACGGATTTTGAAGAGATCAATTTTAAATTGTTTGAATGGTTTTCTGAAGCTCGGTCAAAGAATCTGCCAGTTAGTGGACCAATGGTGAAGGTTAGAGTTCTTTAAACAAAATTTTACCTTACCACCTTTTTAAAAATAGGGAAAATAAAGAATTTATTTTGTTTTTTTCTAACCTTCTTTATTATTGTTAGGAAAAAGCTATTGTTATTGCTGTAGACTGTATCGGCTGTGAAAATTTCATGGCATCAACTGGTTGGCTAAGAAGTTGGCAGAAGCAGTTTGGGATAAAATTTGTAAAACTTGCTGGTGAAGCTGCTGATGTTGATGAAAAAATAGTTGATGATTGGAAAAAAAAGGCTTCCTGAGATTACATCTGGATTCTTACCTGAAAATATATTCAATGCAGATGAGACAGGTCTTTATTATCGCAGTTTACCACAACGTTCATTTGTTTTGAAATCTGATAAAAGGAAAGGCATCAAGACAGCCAAAGAAAGAATAACTGTTCTTTTAGCTTGCTCTCAGACAGGGGAAAAATTGCCACCTTTGGTCATTGGCTATGCAGAAAATCCTCGATGTTTTAAAGGTTAAAATTTCAGATGATATTTTCAAAACTATAAAAAATTTCAACTGATTAATTTTATTTATAGCCTTGAAAAAAAACAGTTTACCTGTGATGTATCGCTGGAACAAAAGGGCATGGATGACTGCCAGATTATTTTTAGAGTGGTGCCAAATCTTAAACAATAAAATGCAAATAAAAGGTTTGGCGTGATGACTCAATCCATAGCCCACAAAGTTCTGAAAATCATGAACAATTTGAAGTCCAAGATAATGAAGAGGAAGAAGAGGCTCCAGTCCAAGAAGTTTCTACAAAGATGGCATTACAATGTGCCAGGAAGCTAACTTCCTATTCGATACATATGGGCAATAGAGAATTGTTACAATTTTCTGAGAACATTGAAAATATTTTAGAAATTGAATTGTTAAAAACAAAATGTTTTGGCAAACAGACAACTATGAATGATTTTTTTCCATAACAATATTAAAAACGTGTTGTTTTATTTTAATTTTTTATGTAGTATATCAAAAAAGATTTTGATGTTGAGTCTTGAGGAGAGGACAGTTAAGAGGAGAGGACAGTTTGGTCATTCCCAAATGGTGTCCTCTCTAGAGGACTTTTACTGTATATACAACAAGGAGCACTGATGATGATTCATTCGGAATCGAAAAATGGCCTTATTTGCAGCATGAACTCGAAAAATAAGTTCATTTTGAATTTTAATAAACTAAACGTTCACCAAAAAACTTTAGTGAGAAAAATCGAAAAAACGAACTACAAACATATTAACGCCAACATTCGGTAGAATTTATAGAATATTGTATATATATATATATATATATATATATATATATATATATATATATATATATATCAATTTGTTGCCAAAGAATCAATCCGGCTATCGTCAATATTTTTCCACAGAAACTGCACTCATTGATATTTTCTCCCAGTTGTTCTCTTCAGTTGACAGTCAATGCGTTTCTTTTTTATCATCATTATGACATCATTGAATTTTCCACATCTGTCCGTAGTCTTGGAGTTATTATTGACTCAAACTTAAAGATGGATTTACATATTAATAATTTAGTGAGGGTCTGCTCCAACCAACTCCGTTTATTACGCAATGTCAAAAAATCACTAAACACGTCTGTTCTTCAAAGCTTGGTTTCCTCTTTCGTCTTTTCCAGACTAGACTACTGCAATGGCCTTTTTTATGGTGTCACCAAAAGGTCTTTTTCAAAGCTTCAGTCAATACAGAATCGTGCGGCCAAGCCAGTTTTGGGTGGTTCGTGGTTCGATCATGTTACGCCTATTTTGAATAGGTTGCACTGGTTGAGGGTTGAAAAACGTGTTTCCTTCAAGTTGGCAGTTTTGATGTTTAAATGTGTCAATAATACAGCACCTCCCTACCTCATCGATAGATTGGAATCATACAAATCTCATTTTTCAAAATATTCCTTCCGATCAACCGAGCGCAATTTATTTTTTATCCCGACCACAAAGTTGGTGACGGGTTCCCGCAACTTTGCGGTTCTTGGACCGATTGTTTGGAATGGTTTACCTCCATACTTACGTGACCCTAACCTATCATATTTACAATTTCGAAGTCAACTTAAAACTTATTTATTTGCACAATGAATGTCCGTCTTATTTGTCTATGATTTAGTAGCGCTTTTGAGATTCAACAATAAAAAAGCGCTGTATATAAATTTCCGTGATAATAATAATATATATATATATATATATATATATATATATGTGTGTGTATGTATGTGTGTATATATATATATATATATATATATATATATATATATATTATTTCATTGTATTTGGACCTAGGATAAAAACTAACCTCATTAATATTCAAACTAAAGTTAAATAACAACTTACGCTTAATACATCGACTAAGACTTAAATTTTCAAACCATATTTTACAGACATTGTATAACTCAATTGTATTGCCTTATTTAACATATTGTATTCCTATTTGGGGTTTTACTACTAAATATAATCTCCATCTTCTTAATGCATGTCAAAATTATTATTTACGAATTGTTTTTGGTCTTAATAAATATGCTCATGTCAGTCGGTACTACTGTATAAACATATCTTAAAAGTAAATCAGTTACACATTTTGTACAATATATAATTCGTTTTCTGTTTTAAATAATTTATATAAATTAATAATTATTTGTTCTTTCTTATCTTATCAAATATCTTACATATATTATATTACATTATATATAATGCACTGAAGATGAGTTATCAATAACTCGAAATAGCTATCTGCAAATTTATTTAATAAAATTCTTAAAACAATAAAATGTCCAATTTTTCTGACATTAATAAACTAAAAAGAAATATAAAAAGGTTGAACAATGTTGAAAGTAGTGTTGAATTTTTTAAATGTTGCGTTAACAACAGTCGCCAGAATAAATCACGGAGTATTTCTGATGTATAATTGTGGAATTTTCGTCAACATGGTCATGCTCACGTTAGATAAAAGCAAACCAATTGAAAAGAATTTGATCCAATAAGATTTAGATTAAGCATATTTAATAATGTGATTGCTAATTCTGATGACATGATAAATGAATGTGTATTTTGTTGTAATGAAAACGCTGATGAATCGTGGATTCAGTGTCAAAACTGTTTCCGCTAGGTTCATAGAAAATGTACCCTCATCACATGCAGTGATTGGACTAAAGTGTTGTATAATTGTAATATTTGTCGGTCTCTACTAGGTCAAATATAATTGACAATTAAATGAGTCTGCTTCAGGCAGCTCTCTAGGTAAGTTGCGTTTTTATTAAACCCATTTTCTGCTGGCGTCCTTTATAAAGGACACTTACAAAAAAATTCATTAAAAATCGAAATCTTGTTATATTTGTATCTTTTTTTCTTTTAAAAATTGTATACTTCCTTCTATAATTTATTTTTGTAAAAAAATATTTAGTTTTAAATCAATTTAAATAGCCGAGTTTGCAAAATTGGTGAAAAAATGTCTCAACATAAAAAGTTAGTAATTTTTTTATTTTGTTTGCGAAAATTTTAATATATTATGGATTAAATTTGTGTATTAATGTATTTTAAATATTATTTTGCAAAAAACAAATCCTATTTAACTGTTGAATATTTTAAAATCAGTCATAAGCATGTGTCCTTTATAAAGGACGCTAGCAGAATATGATACCCTGAGATTCACTTAGTTATCACATTACAAATTTTTGTTTTTCAATAGTGTAAATACAATAAACACTATCAATGAATTATTATTAGTTAGTATGAACATAATAATAAGTTTACTATTTATTGTAAAGATATTCAAGTTAATAAAATAATTTTTTTTAGGTTTTTTCAGAAAAATTCTGCTAAGAAGTATTCTCTGCAAGATGTTTTAACCATGATTGGAGATGATGACAGCATTATTGAAGCTGACATTTTTATCAGTCCTCCTGATGAAGATGATGTATTGGATGAAATACATGATCAAGGATCATTTGATGATCTAGCTGCATGGCAATTACTGAGTAAGGCCGAAGCAAAAATAAAACAAATTGGTGGATCCAAAAAAATTAGCATTGTGAGTATTGATTATGTTTAATATTTTATAAATGAATGATAAATTACTATCATAATTCAAAGACATTAATAATTTTTTAAATTATTTAAAAAAAATCTACAATAGAATGATAAATCATGTGAAAGTGATAGAAACGATGAAATTTTCAATATCTCAAAACCAAAAAAAGATAAAAGAACAAGACAATGAAAAAAAGTTGATATATTTGTAAGTCATCAGATGGTCACCATCTACAAAAAATGTCCAAACAAAGAAGATGTGGCCATTGTGACAAAAAGACAAACTTAATATATGTTTTGTATGTGATGTAGCACTGCACATTGCTTGTTTACCTGATATTCATAAATGATTTTTTAACTTTTTTTAAATGACTTATATTTTTTTATTTATATTTTCAATCTTTTGTTTATTTGTTTCATAAAAATGATGAAAGTCATATTCTGCTGGCGTCCTTTATAAAGGACGTTTTGAAAAATCGCTCTAACTTTTTTAAAAATTAAAATTTTGAAAAAAGAAAAAATACGTATTAGTTTTTTCATTGGTATCTACAACATATATAAAAATCACAAAAATCTAAAATCTCAGCAGAAAATGGGTTAATTGAATGAACCTGCTTCAGGCAGCTCTCTAGATAGGTTGCGATTTTTTAACTTTCTCGTTACCGGTGACCAAATTTAGAAACGTATGGGTGACGCGTTCAATCCAATATTTGGGGGTGTGCACGAAACTGGAGAAAGTTTTGTTTTATATGATATTTTAGAGGATGAAATTGTCTATTAGAATATGCAGGTATTTTTGAAATGCACACATAGATGGAATTTTGGCGATTTTTTAACTATCTCGTTACCATTGTTATATTAATATATAACAATTTGATGATGGAGTGTTTTTATTGTTTTATACAATTTTTAATCTGAATACAGTTAAAATGTTATAAATAACAAAAATGGAACAAAAATAAATATTTTTTTCATTTCATGAAACCTTTAAATATTTTTCACTTAATCGGTTTTTTCATAATCTGCCTTTTACATATGCTTCATCGTCGCTGAGTTTGAACCGTCGCGAACATTACCCACGAAGTATTGCGGTAAAGTGAAACAAAATAAAATTTCATCAGATCGTCTTATTGATTGAAATTTTAATAAACGTAAAAATAAAACGTTCACTAACTACTAAAGAAGTGTAAAAAGAACTCGCCTCCATCACCACTGACTGATTGGAAAAGACCAGACCATGCCGATCGTAAAATAAATTATGCTAGCAACGATGTCAACAGAACAACTCGGCCCAATTCGATAAATTTAATCAGCTTCATGCCATGTACACCATATAAATAAAATATGATTTGTGTTAAAAGAAATTAAATTATATTGATAAAGTCATATATGTAAAATATAATATAGATAGAATAAAACACTAAACTATATATAAGAATGAACATACAAACATTAATTTAATCTTTAAATTGAATTTTTGTTGAATAACTGAGTGACGATTCAGTAATTTTAGTATTCATATATCTTGATCCAACATATCCAACTGGTCTGGTTTGAATACTGTCGGTCCGAAACCCAAAGACTATCATACGCCATGCACGAGTGATGCGATGCTTGCGTGTGCATACATTAATGTGTATGTAATGTACGTTGTGCAGTGTGGATAGTACAGCCTTTGTGGCACGAAGGTTTAAATACAGAGATGATATATATAATCGGTTCATCGATTTTGGCTGTAAAAACAATATTTAGTTTTGGTGTTTCGAAAAAACTGTACATTTTCTCAACAACTCCAAGATAGTTACTAATGTCTTGAATGCTACAAGCTTTACTTAGAACTAAGTTTAATGAATGTGAAGCACAATGTACAAATATGGCTTTTCATACTTTTCTTTCACAAATGCAACACAATTATACTCTTCAACATTTAAAGGTGCACCATCATATCCTTGTCCTCAAAGGTATTTCAAGTCAATACCATATTCTTCTAAAGCAGTTAGAAGCTTCATTGCCAATTCCTTTCCGGTTGTGTATTTTAAAAAAACAAATTGCAAAGAATTTTCAAAAATCTGTTTGGATTTTTCATCATAACATCTTGCGCATATAGAATACTGCTCAATCAAACTAATATCAGCTGTTTCATCTGTCATAAATGTAAAGCATTTTGCATTGTTTATTTGTCTAACAAGTTTTTTAATGTGACTGTGTTACAGCAAGTAATGATCTGATTTTTTATATCTGGACTAGTATATGTAGCATTCTTATAAGATGTTACAAAGTGGTTCTCCAATATTTTATCTCCAGCATTTACTCTATAACGTATTAAAGCTCTAAAATTCCCTTCTTTTTTATGGCTATCATTAAAGTTGATGAATCAATATGATTTCTTATTGTCTTTCAGAAACAATAACTGTATAAATAATAGATTGGAAGTTTTTTTCTATTATCAACAATGTCATTTTCTTTCTTCATTCAATTGAGAGTTGAGAGATGAAACCTTTTTATTTCTTGTTTTAAAAGAGTGAAACAGTTTATTGCTTCGATATGGTAACGGCACTTAATATGATTATTTAATTTATCGATTGCCTATTTCCTGTTTCTCCAGGGTTTTCTTACAAAATATCCTATTTCCTGAAAATGACAATAACCCTCTTCGTCCATGGCAAACAATATGCCCCATCCTCAATAGCTGAATAAGTCAACCAATTGTAAATTTTTAAAAAACTTATCTAAAAACGTCTTTCTTGGGAGTTAAAGTTTGAGAAAGGGAATTTGTATAGATCATGTGAATCCCACAACTGGCTTATTATATCATTTTTTTGCCATCAATATTATATCAATTTTTTTGGCTGACAAAATTAGAAACGTCATAAAGACTTCTTGAAGATCTGGCTGACGAAATATCTTTTTTGGTGAATCAGTAGTTTGTGAAAAATCTTCTTTCTTTTGCAAATAATGCAAAATGGTATTATTTGAAAGTTTTTGCCGTTTCAATTTGTAAATATTAAGAAAATGCTAGTAAAACATAATTATTTGAAACCGGACGCGAAATAATAGATACATAAAAAGATCCTAATTTTATTTAAAAATAAGCACTAAAAGAAAAGATCAAATTTAAACTAAAATGATAAGATATAAGCTGTAAGATATAAACATACTGTTGTAACCTCCTCGACCTCGTAACTACTAACACCGATGCTATAGCTTCAATAATCTCTTAATCTCTAACACCATGTTGCAGCTTCCAACGATAGTCAAGAGTTCGTTTATCCGTAGGTTCCAGATTTCCAATAAATGAACACAACTTCAAACGTAAACTAAGTGCTTGTAAATGTGTCTAATAAAAGTGTCACGTCCATAAATGAATTTACAATCCTCTAATTAATTTACAAGTTTAAGAATTCCTAACTATAAGTCTCCATCTCGACCTCAAGGCTGTAACAATCCTTATGAAAAACAATATCACTGTCATTAACTATATTGAAAATTTCAAATTAAAAAAAAAACAATGAGCCAAAACACCATGATAAATAAAAAGTATATAAAATGAATAATTTTTGAGTATTTAGGTTTAGCCTAACTCTGCAATTATCATGCTTTTTCCAGAACTTTCCCCAATTGCAGTGCGTCGCAAGGATTTGCAGGCACTATTCAGTTTGGACAAGGCTGGTCATTTTTTATATATACTTACAGCCGTTATCAAAATGGCGGTAACTTTACAAAAATTTATTTTTCGGATGCAGTACAAGAATTTGTTTTCTTCGTTTTGGGCCAACAGAGTTTGCTCAAATGAGTCTTATAAGAGATATATAATAAAATCTACAAGTTATTCTGACGATAAAAGACAGAAAAAAATGGCTAAAAGTAGATGCAGTTCCATCAAAATTTGATAACAGGAGACAGACGCAATGGATAGATCGGCTTGGAGACAGAAGCTGATGAATAGGGTAAAATAAAATCCGACCCATAACGGATGGAGACTATAAACTAGGATTGATTGATTGATACATGAATTTACAAGAATATTACGTTCGTTAAGCATTTACGTGAATGAAGGCGATTTGCAGTTTTCATCCAGTTCAGAAATCAATGGTTCAAGCCGTTTATATCATGAAAAAATTGATATTTATCATGACATCTAATTGAATTATTTACAAGGTATAAGCTGTTTAAACCATAAAAGTTTATTTTATCTATGGTATTTGATATCTACATTCATATCTAAATGGATAGTAACGTCATTAACAACACCCCAAAATTAACGGAAAATAATTATCGAATAAAAAACTACAAAATAAATTTAAATTAAATTTTAATATTTTAATATTAGATAAAAAAAGCACAAAATGGCAAAGGCTGCTAACTTTTTCAACAAATGTAAGCTCCTCACACAACAAATAACTGGCCACTGAATAATATGAATAAAAAATAAATATTATGAATAGTAAATGAATATTAATGTGGATAAATAAATGAAAAATTCTATAGAAAACGTATTGTAATAATTCATTAAGCTCCCAGTAAATTATTATACTCCTCAAAGAATATTACTTTACGACCATTCATTTAACTATATCGGCAGTATTTAATTATAGTAACTTCTTACTATTACATACAGTTTTAAAGAAATGATTATTTTATAATAAAATACAATCAAAGTGTTTGGTTGATGAAGGGGATTAATTTTTAACACTATTTATTTTTTTATGCTTTTGTTTTTAACTTAGTTTTATTAAAAATAATGATAACAATAACAACAGTACTAACAACCTGTTGGGCGGCGTGATGGCTCAATGGTTAAAGGCGCCTGGTCTTGCTATTGCTATGACTGGGTTCGAATACAAAGAGATCCCCGCCTATCATATGCAATATGTATGATGCGTGGTTTGCACGCGTATTCATATACGCTGTGTGTGTTTGTCGTTGAAACCTCTGAAGCAAACGCAAAAGAGAGAGAGAAACCTTTAACCGTTTCTAATGCAGTTCAGTTTTGCTATGTTTTTAAATTTAAATGAATTTTTTGTAAAAAAAATAGTTAGTTCATAGTAATTTGTCCAAACGTTGTTGGATCTTCATTGGCTTAATGTTTTTCTAATGCAGTTCAGTTTTGCTATGTTTTTAAATTTAAATGAATTTTTTGTAAAAAAAATAGTTAGTTCATAGTAATTTGTCCAAACGTTGTTGGATCTTCATTGGCTTAATGTTAGGAAAAGAATCTTATACAAAATTTCCATCATGGTGTTCAAATGCCTGAATGGTCTCAGTCCAAGTTACCTGTCTGAAATGATAATACGTAGAGTTAGATCTCATCCGTCAATCAAGTTGCGTTTAGATGATCAAGATTTATTGATGGTGCCGAAAACAAAGTTGGCTGTTGCTGATAGAAGTTTTGCAGTTGCTGGTCCTTCGATCTGGAATAATTTGCCCCATCACCTGCGTCGGCCGGGATTGACTCTTCAACAGTTTCGCAAGGAATTGAAAACTCATATCTTCTTGGATTGATTCGCACAAATCATGGAGCGCCTTTGGGTGACTATAAAAGGCGCTCTACAAGTTCTCTAATAATAATAATAATAATAATGATAATAATAATAATAATAATAATACAGTTATAACGAAATAATTATTTTATAACAGAATACAATCAAAGTTTTTGGTTGATGAAAGGGATTAATTTTTAGTACTATTCATTTTTTATCTTTTTGTTTTTAAAAGTTTTATTAAAGATAATAGTAACAATGACAACAGCACTAACTACCGTTTCTAATGCAGTTCAGTTTG